ACATGTCAAATCTCATCCCATACCTTACAGAAAGGCCAAAAAGATAATAAAGGAAATACAAACAGAATTAAGTCATAGCAGAGGGTCAGACCATCTTGAAATATAGAAAGCAAGTAGAATCAGTTTTACGGGGAGCAAAAACTAAAGGCAACGCAGAGGAAGGAACTGAGAAGGTAAAAATAAACAGAAGATCCTGAGTTCTGAGTTAAAGATCTGAGATGCAGGGGTGTGGGGAGGGAAGGTTCATGGGGACAAATTGGGAGTCTTATGAGTTAATTGGTGAGGAGGCCCTTCCCCTCTTCCTACTGTGTTAGGTAGACTGGCATTTCCTGAGGCCAGGGGAGTTGGTGAGGGCTCTCAGGAATTAGAGGTCTTGGGAGGGATCTGTCGCCCTGCACCCAGGAAGCAAGATGGGTCGCCTGTCCTAGCAGGCCCTCCCCCTCCCCATACACACCACAGGAGCTCAGATACTGGGGGAGGAGGTATCCCAGAAAGGTATGCAAATACCCCTGCATCAGGAGGAGAGGTAGCACCAGGCACGGTTTACTCCAGATGCAGCAAGCCAGAGAGCCAAAAGGTCAAGAAATGGGTAACAGCAGAGGACAGAGAAGGAATCTCAGGTCGCCCAGAGAGGTTCAGAGAGACCAGAGTCTGCAGTGTGACCTCCCAGGCAGAGCGCTGCTCCGGAAATAGGAAGCACGTCCCTGGGCTGAGGAGCAGAACAGCCGTGGCTACTGGTCAAGGTCAAGGGGTTCTTTGCAAAGACAGGTACGATAATGAGAAAAGTGAAGAGATGTGGAGGATGAACCTAAGTTTGACATCTAGTTAAAGATCCTGGAAAAAGAGAAAAAGGGGATTAGAGAGAAAGAAACGTAAAAAGAAAACAAAAAAAAAGAAATCGTGGAAAAGCATCCCAGAGGTGCAGAAAGACGTGTCTTCAGAGTGAAAGGACCCACTGCACAGGGAACTGGAGGAAGAAGGCCCATCCGCTGACACTTTAGAAAACCAAGGGTGTGCCCAATACTGAGAGCTTTTGGAAAGAAGAATGGTGTTTCTTCTAAGAAACAAAATTCGGATGGGAATTCAGCTTTTCATTGCCAACATCAGATGCCAGGAGATGACGGAGCCACATCTCCCCAGGCTCCTGGAAGGTGTGTTTGCAGCTGGAATCCCACTCACTCTCAGCCACACCAGTATTCAGGGCTGAGGCTGAGTTGAAGAGTCTCCAGGTATGCAAGGACTCAGGAAGTTTGCTTTTGACTTGAGTATGTCCTCTATCAACATGTACAATAAAACCAACATTAGTACCTGTTTGTGTTAGTACCGAGTTTGTTGTTAGTACCTAGCTGCGTTTGCAATACAACTCAGTTAATACAGAAATGTGGAGAGTAGAATCCCCTCCCTGTCCACTCCTCCCATGATCATTACTGTTAGGAAGATATTCTTCCAGATCCTTCCTATGTATATGCTGACAGTTCAGTTTTAAGTGTTACACTTTCTGTGAACATGTATCTTTGCAAAAAGGCCACATTCTGCAGAATGTTGGCAAAATTGCTTTTTACAGCTTGACATTTCCAAGAGTGGAAAACCACTCTTGTGTAGTTCCCTTGTTCTTTGTTAGGTCTGTGCCCAATTATTTAATCAGTCCCTATTAATTAGGGAGGCCCCTAATTATTTAACCAGCCCCTACTAATAAGTGTTTAGATTGCTTTTATATTTCACTATGAAACGAATACTGCAGTGAATATTGGACTTTTATCTCTGCATATGAGCTGATATTATACAGGATAAACCCTAGAATTGGAGTAATTGCTAGATCAAAGGGAATGGGCAATTAAAAATCTGATAGATCTCACTAAGTCTCCCTGGAACATCATTGCCACTGATTATTCTTTCGATGAGGGGGTCCTGTCTTGGCTTTTCCAGGGGTATGGTGAAGGGCGTTGGCCTTGGAGCCCCTGAACCCCGAGTGTCTGGGGTTGGGCGGACCTGGGCTGTGAAATTTCTCCTACAGATGGCGCTCTTGCCTCGCTCTGCATCTGTCTTGCCCCCCGGGGAGAACACCGTAATTACAAAACAAAAAGAAATTAAGCTGCGCACACAGGAGGACTGCAGGGTTTTTAATGTTTGTGCCCAGACAGCCAGACCTCCGTTTCCTTACTTTCCTGGCTGTAAAACTCAGATAACTTTGTGATCCACTGTTCTTCAGAAGGAAAAAAGAAAAGATTATATTTGACCATCTTTTTGAAATCTTTAGAATTTCACCCTTTGAAAATAAGTCTTTGAGAATTTCCAACGATGTGCATCCACTTAGTGTGTTGGCAGAGAAGAAATAATTTAGGCTTCGGCTTAATATTTTTAAAAATTCTCTTCTTGAAAGAAAGAAAAAAAGAATAAAAAAAAAAAATCCTCTTGATCCCAAGGGAACAAATGGAGAGCTATACAATAATCTTGCAGAATGAAGTGTTCCAGGTGGTATTTACCTCTGTAGTCCCACGCACCCTGGCAATAAATCCCAAAAGATCTGGTGTATTGGGAAGGGATGCAGGGTCTCGTGAGGAAGAGAACATACTGCGGCTTCTGGGTGTGTCTCCTCCAGGTCCTGGGAGATAGACCCTGGCTGATCATAAACCAGAGTGCCTCTCCACCCAGGGGGCAATCAGGGAGTAAAGTGGGTGGGTGCTTTGGGCAGTCAGGCTTCCTAGCCTGGGCACAGCTCAGAACACGCTTAAGAGGGAATGTGAATGTCAGCAACAAACAGAGGAAAGATGATCAGCGTAATGCACACTGGCCCATTTGGGCCTTGGATCGCTCTTGTTCAGCTCGAAACAGCCCCCAGGCATTGCTATCGGGTCAGGATTCAGAGCTCCGATGAACCTCGCTCATTCTGCTAAGGATGAGAGAGAGCAGAAAGGGCTGGAAGTGAAAGTGTTAATCACTCAGTGGTGTCTGACTCTTTGCAACCTCATAAACTGCTGCCCACAGACTCCTCTGTCCATGGAATTCTCTAGGCAAGAATACTGGAGTGAGTTGTTCTCTTCTCCAGGGGATCCTCCTGACCCAGGCATCGAAACCCCAGGGTCTCCTGCATTGAAGGTGGATCCTTTACTATCTGAGCCACTGGGGAAGCCCAAGACGATGCTGGGGATCAGCAGAGGCTGCTTTCTGTTAGAGAATTATTTCATGCATCCTTTTAGAAATGAAATGCACCGCCGGGTCCTCTCAGCACAAAAGGTTCAGGGATGCGGCGACCTTGATGAATCCCAGTCAAGACTCTGAATAATTTAGGAGTAATAAACCCAACCAGAGAATGCACTCCCAAGCAGGCTGCTGTTTTCCTGGATGTCTCTAAATGGGCAATCCTGGCTTTTTCCTGTCTCTGAAGCTTCTCTTGTCCGTGAGAAACAGAAACGGGGCTCTATATATGTCAGCCAAGAGGCTATGTTAAAAGTTACCATGTTTATTTGTGTAAGTTTCTCCTTCCACTGAAAAAGAGGCTTTTTTTGTTGTTACTAGAGCCTTGATACACACATGAGAAAGCAAGGGTACCCTGCTGGGTACCATGAAAATGTGGTGCTTGATATTCCTGCCTGTCTTAAATGAAAGAAAATCTGACAGATGTGAAGGTGGAGTGAGCTGGTGTTTGCAGAGTTGATGGTGGCTAAGAGGAGGCCCCTGCACACGTGTCTGGGATGGGTCTATGTTCCAGATGTGTTTTTAGTGCAGGGTAATAGATGTCAAAGGTGGAAACTTAAAGGCTTGATCTTGGAGTAGTGTGCTAGAATGTGAACTGCAGTGAACTGGGCCTGGGCAGAGGGAGCTAGCTCCACTGGAGGACCCCGGACCCATGTCAGGGAACAGAGGGCTTGAGGTCATGCCACTGAATGTCTAGAGCAAAGTGGTGCCCTGGGAGCCAAAGTTCCAAGCAAAGGACTCCGTGTGTGTTGAATCTTAGGCTCTTAGGCAGAAGCAAACGCCAGATTCTGGAGGCAAGAGTTCAGCGAAGCAGGAAGGAATGGGGTAGGGGGTGAACCCAGGTAGTAGCGGATTTGAGTCACCCTGGTGATAAAGCCAGAGGCGTGAACCAGTATGAATATGATGGAGACATCCCTCTGTGTTTGTGGCCCGTGAATCTTGGGATGCATCCATTGGTGCTTCAGAGTTTCTCATTTACTCCACACACAAACAGCCCTGTCTGCAATCAGAGCTTGGGGAGTCGGACGGCCTCGATGAGGCCTCACAGCCAGACCAAAGTTGGAACGCAGACACCCCGCCCCACCCCAGAGCCTGTGTTTTCCTGCACCACTGGTTCTGCTCAAGGTCGAGTGGCTGGGGGTTGGTGGGTCTGCTGGAAGCTAGAGCCCATACTCCCAGCTTTGGCCTTGCTCTGCCTCTAAGGCTGGGATGGAGGCTGGAAGACGTGGGTTCTAACCTGCTCCTTCCCAGTTCAGTGTCCCTGTTAAGGGCCTTCTTGTCTGACTCCTTCCCCTTTTCCAGTCACTCTAAATCCTCCCCTTTCTACCTGGAAAGTGTGTTCTGGCCTCGGCTTCCCTCTCTGCCGTGTCCCGTCCCTGATAGCTCTCATCAGGGTGGCCTGGCTCATCTGAGTTCTTAGGGGAGGTGGCGGGCAGGGAGGACAAGCAGAGAGGACTCATGGAGCCGCTGGCAGCCAGCTCTGCCCTGACTTGGAGAGAAGCCGCTGTGTGAAGCCTCTTAGAAATGAAACCAACACCATGCATGAGAGAAAGGAAAGCCTAATGGCCTCCAGGTCAACTGGGCCTTCAGCCCATTAATTCCTCTTTTCTTTGCCTAATCCTGTTTGAGCTGGATTTTGTTTGTTTTACCTAAAACATCCTGCCAAATGTGCTTACTTTGATGGTATTGTCAAAACTGAAGCAAGATTGGTGCAATAATCAAAGTGTGTCGTTGATGTCATAATAACATACATGGTATGATGGTATGTCACATTGTACCATCCTGCTTGAAACCAAATGGACTCACTAATCTGTCAGTCTTTTAAGGAAGCAAGATGCATTAGGGAAATACTTCCTTTCAGTAAAGTGGTGAGAGCTCTCAGCTGAAAGCCTTCTGCCCTGGGCATGAGTACCCCAGCTCTTTTCCCATGATGGGGGTGCCTATGTGTGTGTGCTCAGTTCCTCAGCTGGTTGTCCTCCATCTCCCCTACTTCCCGCCTTGCTTTAAGTTATTCTCTCCATTGACTCCAGATAGTCTCTAAAGCTCTGATGGAAGCTTGAGCAGTGTGACTTCCCCCTGCCCTAATTCCGCAGTGTGGCCCTGACTTCCTTTCCTCTCTGGTTCCAGCTCTCGTGGTGGAGGCAGCTTGGAGCCCCATCTGGAGGAGCTCCATCCTGAGTCAGAGCTCCCTGAAGCTCAGAATGTGACTGATTAGTAATGCCTGCCAGGGGCCTGGACATGGCAAGCAGGGGTGAGTCCACCTAGATCTCTGACTCCTTGTGGTCACTTGAATGTGCTCCATGTTTGTGTGAGTCTGAGTTCCGCACATGTGTTTCTCAATCCATGGGGTGTCATTATCCCTTTCAGATAACCTTGCAAGCACTTAATCACCTTCAGCTCTGCAGAATCCTTCCTGGGAGGCCTTCACCACTCCTGCAGGGGCTACCTCTTTACATGGCTACTGCTTGCCTCACCCCCATTCCCCACTCCTGCACTGTATTATAACCATCTGTGTGTATTGCCCCCCACCTCTCCCCAGAGTTCACTGTGAGTCCCTGAGAGCACAGAAGGTTTTAGAAATTGTGTATTCCAGTGCCTGGCATATAATCAATATTCAAAATGAGTGTTGCGTTTTGGAAATCTACATCCTTCATATCTGCCTTTAGAATCAGCACAGGGTAGCACGATTAAATGGAGTTCTTATTTAAGTATATAAATGAAGCCCTTTACCTGACTCAACTTTCATGATAGAGTAAGGGGAAAGAAATTAAAAGGAAAAGATAGTAGGAATCTGGTAAGGAAAAGAAATTAACTTTCAGGTGGATTTTGAAATTAGCTCTGCTTCAGTTCACACCTGGTTTCCAAGCACCGACCCAAATGTGGACTCCCGTGATGGGTCTTCCTGTACTTTTGCAAGACTCAGTGTCCACGTCTGTTCAAGGAAAGAAAAGTGAAAGTGTTTAGTTGTGTCTGACTTTTTGTGACCCCATAGACTGTAGCCCAGGCTCCTCGGTCCATAAGATTTCCCAGGCAAGAATACTGAAGTGGGTAGCCATTTCCTCCTCCAAGTGGTCTTCCTGACCCAGGGATAGAACCAGGGTCTCCTGCATTACAGGCAAATTCTTTACCATATGAGCTACCAAGGAAGTCAACAAGGGTGTTGGATCAAAACCCTGCCTTCTGGGGTTATTGAGAGGGCCACGTGGGTGAACCTGTGTCAGTGCTTCCCACAGCGCCTGGTGGGTGTCCAGCTGTCCTTGACACTGTACTGAGGTGTGTCTAGACCACAAAGTTAGGTGACAAGTCACAGTGTTATGCAATGTATCAGTGGCTTCTGGTTATGAAAATACCAGAGAGATATACAGACATACCCTGATTATGCCCAGATGATTTCTGGAAGGGTTCACATGTGACTATCACAAAAGGGTCCTTAGAGAGAAAATAGAAGGCTGGAGACTGGGATCAGAGGGACAACTGTAAATTTATGATAAAAGATTTCATCTAAATTCAGATGCCTGGGCCCTATTTCTAGCCTTTTGATCCTATCACTTTTGAGTGAGATGGTGAGGGACAGGGAAGCCTGGCATGCTGCAGTCCACAGGATGGTGAAGAGTCAGACACAACTTGGTGACTGAACAACAGCTTTTGAGTGAAATCTGGGAATATGTATTTCACAAAGTTCCCTAAGTGAACTATCCAGTGCACTAGATTTTGGAACCCCTTCTGGTGTTTCTGAATCAGCACCACCCTTGCAGGGAGCAGTCCATAATTTTGTATTTGTTGAACTGACAAGTTGTGGAAAGGAAATTGAGGCTAATGCTTTGAGTCAACAAATCTAACATCAATTCCTGACCCGTTTCTCCCTTTTCTGTCTTCACTTCAGTAATTGAAACTTGAAATATCCACTTTCTCAGTGTCCCAGACATTTAAGAGTGGCCATATAAAAACACACATGCTCTGAGTGGTTGCTGGAAAACTTTAGCTTTGGGGAGAGAAAGAATTTATTTAGATACTACCCTTTCCTTCTCCCTCTTGCCTTGAACATCTGTGTGATGTCTGGAGCTGTGGCAGCCATTTTGTACTAATGAAGAAAGGCCAGGGGAGATTGTGGAGACCGCAGCCCTAACATCATTAGACTCCTGAAATGATGTCAGCAACTACTTTCTCAAACTTCTTGTAGTGTAGGTAAAATTAACCCTCTTTTATTAAAATTGGTTGAGTTTTCTGTTATTTCCAGTTGAAATGGACCCACGATAAGGGTTCTGAAATAGGGAAGCAATAGACTTGAATTCTGGCCCCTGTTTGGGGTTTGGTAAGTATTCTTTGGCAGGCATCTCTCCCTCTCTGATCCCCAGTGTAACAACCTATAAAATGTGGTGATAGGACTTGATTACACCATATACCCTTTGTGCCTTTTGCTATTTGTTAATAATACAGATGTAACACCTGCCCTTTCTCATCTGAGAAGCACCTTCTAGATCCATGAGGTTCACTTGTTTGTAAGCAAGAGATAGCTGATGTGTCATGTTAGGTTGGTTTATTTGAAGAAATCAGGAACTGCCCTAGGTTAATAGGACCTGCAATTGGAGGACTGAGTCTGAAAAGGTAGGAATAAGCACAGATCCTGAGATCAAGAGCTGAGGTCGGCAGACTCTGGTCTGCAGGCTAGATCCTATGTGCCATCTGCTTTATAAATAAACTATTATTGGAACAGAGCCATATCCACTCACCGATGCTTTGCCCACAGCTGTGTTCATAAGGGCAGAGTTCTGACAGAGTCTATAGGCCACCCAGAGCTGGAAAGATTTACCATCTGTCCCTTTACTGACAATATTTGCTGCCCCTGACCTAGGGGGTTGGAACCACCCATAAGCCTCAAGAGAAAGGGAACAGAGGAATGAAGAGTGGAACATGCCCCGCCTCTGCAGGAGGTTGTCCTGAGGGTGATCTGTCAACTCCCGTTCCCTTCTTACACCTTCTCCTCCTCCCCCGTTTCTCCCCCTCCCTCTCCCCTTTCTTCTCCTCCTTTTTCACAACACTTATCACCACCTGGTGGCAAAAGGCAGTCACTTTGCTAGTTTCTATGCCACCCCCCACCCCGCCCCCATGTGGCAGTATCTGGTTCCCGAGGCCAGGGGTCTGGTGGTCACCTTCCCCACGCACCCTCAGCACCCAGCACGGCGTCTGACACAGAGTGGGTGCTCAGTGAATACTCACTGAGAGGACACCTGTGAGCTGCTCCTTGGACTCACTGTGCCATTTCCAGTGTCCAGGAGGCAGTTTCTCTGGTCTAACTTGAGTCACATGTGTCCCTGTCACCTGGAGACTGATGGGAACTTTGCTTTACAAAGACAAGTCCATCAGGAGGGGGGCAAGTCCCCCAGAAGAAATGGAGTTACAGTTACCAAGGATGGGAGTGGTGTGTGATGGATGCAGAGTGTCTACAGAAAACAAAGATCAACTGTAGAGAAATGAGATCTTTTGGAAATGCGTGTGCATTGAGTCTGCGTGACCGTTCTCTTTTTTGTTCTTGTATAACCTTCCATTCTTGGTGCCTTCTTTCTCCTTCGAGGTCTCTGAGGATATTGAGGGCAGGAAGCCTACAAGCTACCTAATTCTTCCTCATCTTTCACTGTCTTCCTGCCAACCCCCAGTGCCAAGCATACTGCATGCCAGAGGTGAGGGTCTGAGTTTGGGTTTGATGAATTTTAATAGTGATAGAATTCTGCGTGCGTTTATGTGCCAACCTTTCAAGCCAGAAGACAGAGATATGGGGAAAACAACAGGTTGGGACTTCATTATCACCCAAGACATGTCTGGCTGGTGTATGAATCCATCTGCAGTGACTGCCTGGATAACAGTATTCCATATTGGAGGCTCTGTTCTATTTGAATGTACAGATTAATCAATACCATGACTACTATTTCCAGAAAGCTTCTTGCTGAAATTATGAAATGGTATGTTTAGGCTTCACAGCTACAAAACATGATCTTCTAGGTGAAAGAAGATGAATAGCTTCAAAGAAAGGTGTCCCCCTCCCTTTCTGCCCCAGGGAAACATGACCAGATGATGAAGAAAAATGACTCAGGACCTGCCTACACCTCCCGTGAAATGTTCCACTTCTTGAGCATTTTATTCAACCAGCATCAGCCGGGTGCAGTGCATTAACACTGTGAGTTTCTTGTGATGTTTTGTGACTGATAATATTTTCCTTCCAAGTTCTCTATAAACACTAAAGCAGTAACAGTGAAAACCAGGCCTTTTTTTTTTTTTTGCTCCTGAAAGTGTCTGATTTCTCATACTGGATGGGATTTTTCTAGGTCATGTGATATGTCCCAGGAAATTGGGTGGGATAGGGCATTTTGAAGCTCATCATTTGGACATCTTGAATCTGAAAATTGGGTTGGGGCTCCAGGGCCAGCAACAAGCCAGTGCCTCAGGGAGATCAGGGCTCTGTTGTGGTTTTTGCTACCCACCAGCCATAGGCATTCTTTTTTTTTTTTTTTCAGGGTCGATTTCCTTTATTTTTTCTTTCCATTTATTTTTGTTAGTTGGAGGCTAATTACTTTACAAGCCATAGGCATTCAAATCCTGTCCATTTCCCATCAGTGAAACAACAGTGAAAGTGAAAGTGAAAGACGCTCAGTTGTGTTCTACTCTTTGTGACCCCATGGATTATACAGTCCGTGGGATTCTCCAGGGCAGAATACTGGAGGGGTAGCCGTTCCCTTCTTCAAGGGATCTTCTCAACCCAGGGATCAAACCCAGGTCTCCCACGTTGTAGGTGGATTCTTTACCATCTGAGCCACCAGGGAAGCCCACGAATACTGGAGTGGGTAGCTGTTCCCTTCTCCAGGGAATCTTCCCACCCAGGAATTAAACTGGGGTTTTCTGCATTGCAGGCAGATTCTTTACCAGCTGAGCTATCAGGGAAGTCCTTAGATGTCTTTGCTGCATGTCTGGGAGCAGCATCTCCAGACTACACGCCGGTGCCAGCAGCACCCACAGTTGTGATAATGAGAAGCGTCTGCAGACATCGCCAAATGTCCCTCCCTGGAGGGAGAGGGCAGAACTGCCCCTGGTTGATGAGCTTGCTGTGGTTGAGGTGCCTTGGTGACCAGCATAGAGGAGACAGTTCAGAGCGTGTCATAACCACACACCCCAGCTCTCACACTCCCAGTTATTTACAGTGGCCCCTTGCCCTCCACACCAGAGAGTATAATGCAGAGGAACAGGGAGATGCTTCTAGGGGTCAGATAGGCCTCAGACCCAAACTGCCTATATCCTTCTGGCATCGGGGAAAGGAAGTCTGCTTACAAAGGGAACTCTTCACACTCTTTGAGACTCTCCAGCATGAAGCTCTTTGCAGGAAATGTCCACTCCTGTTGTGAAGTCTGTTTCTACAGAAAACTGTCCTAAGGCTGTTGGGACTGGTGATTTATCATCTTTAATAACAATGCAAATTTTAGCACTGCGGCAGTATTTACAAAAACTGTATATGATCCTGAAAAGAGTTCTGTATTGAATTCCAACGTTACTGAGTGGAAACCAGGCTGAGAGAGAGAGAGAGATCATCAGAAACTTGGGTCTAGTAATGTTGGATGGGGTGTCCCCTGGACCTTGTGATTCTGATCCAACAACAGCAGTGACTCAGAGCACTGGTCAGCACGCCGGACACACTTAGATTCCAACACCAGTCCTACCAATGATAGCTGGGGCATTTTGATACACCTCATGATTTCTATGAACGTATATTTTCTGGTCTACAAATGTGGATGAAAAGAAGAGTAACCACCTCATGAGGTTGTTTCAAATATTATACATGAGACTGTTAGCACATTGCTAACATAGCGAGTAACCAACAAGTGTTGTTCAGTCATTCAGGCACGTCCAACTCTTTGTGACCCTGTGGACTGTGGTGTGTTATGATACTTCGTCATTGGGTCATGCAGGTGCTGGCAATGCCCAGACATGCTGTGCCCATCCTGCCTTCCCAGAGGCCTGCCCACGTGGAGGCATAGCTTCTCATCTCTGCCTCTGAGGTTCTGCAGCACATGATCTCTGGGGGATGGTCACTGACCTGACCGGGGTGGGGGGTGGGGGCAGAGAGAGCTGGAGGCTGAGCTGGAAGCAAACAGACCAAGCACAGGTCCCCACTCGATCGTTTCATTTTCATCTCCATTGTGCCCTTCTTACTGCCATCAGAGTAAACTAAGGGCCACTCTGACCATTTGTTGTCAGAAGTTCTATTATCTTTCATTTTTCTGCTTTTCATCTCAAATACAGAGGAGGAAAGGAAGCTAGAGGAAGGGATAAAATGTGCACTGTGGCTCTAGATCTCCAAATGTTCTCATGATTGTCGCTCATGGGGCTGACCAGTGAGCAGGCAGAGTGTATGAGTGCTCAGTCATATCCAACTCTTTGCAACCTCATGGACTGTGCGGGATGTTTTGAGATGGGATCCTGTGTGTATAAAATGGGCCTAAGAGTTTGTGAAGGTAGGATGTGTGGGCCTATCTGTGGGAGGCGCTGGTGAGGTAATGAGTGTGATTGGGTGGTGTCCCCAGTCAGTAGGCCTGAGCTATCGTCTGGACCAGCCAAGGTTTGCAGGAGGGGCCCAGAAGCCCCACGTTTTCACAGTCCGGCAGACTGAGGCCCTGAGCATAGGCGGCCATGTGGGACAGAGAGGTTCCTGTTGAGGATGGACTGAGAGAGCTCACTCTAGGCTGCCCCCAGGTCCGTGATCTCTCAGTGAACAAACAGGACGCAGGTAAAGTGAAGAGTAAGGGGCGGATGACCACTGAGCTCTGGGGCAGCCTCTGGGGCCGCCTGCATCAGTTCTCCTGGGCACCTTGGACGTGTCACCTGCTGTGGGTAGGCCAATCCTCAAAGCTCTGAAACTCCACCCTTGGCTAGAAGGAGCCCTGAATGTAAGGCTGAGGAGGCCCTGGGCTGGCTTGGGGATTTATCCACTCAAAGATGCCACACCTTCTTTATAAACTGGGGCCCCCAGCACCTCCTTACTGCTTGATGAGGTGGTGAACTAGAGCAGCTGACTGGGGAAGCGGGTATGACGGCAGCTTGGCCCAGGAAAGGACCTTGGACAGCAGCAGACTCAGAGAAATCAGTGGTTGACTACGAATTGTTTAAAACAGACTTTGGGCAAAATTACTGTCTCTGAACTCCAGAGCTTGTCTCTACTGATCAGGAGATGCCAACATTGCTGAATTCATGGTGAGGAGCATGATGGTGATGACGATTCTAATAACATTTATTTCAGACTTACTGTGTGCCAGGCACTGTGTTAAGCACCATATAGATATGATCTGCAAAATTTCTCAGAATAACCCAGGAAGCATTATACTCATTTTCCAGGTAAAGAATCAGTGCTGATGGGGGCTAAGTAACTTCCTCTTTGTCACTAAGTACTAGTAAGAGGCTGCAGTGAGTCAATGGCAGTCTCACCAAAAGATATATCTACCAGGAACCCACGAATGACTTGATTTGGGGAATGTTTCTCAGATGTCATTAAGGATTCCCAAATAAGATCATCTTGGACTATCCAGGTGGGGCCTGCATCCATGAACACCTGTCCTGATAATAGACAGAAGAGAAGGTGGAGACACGCAGAGAAAGAGAAGGCCATGTGCAGATGGAGGCAAGGATGCGTATGATGCAGCTGCAAGCCAAGGAAGCCCGGAGTCATAGAAACTGGAGTAGCAGCAAGGGAAGTGTCTACCTTGGAACCCCAAGAAGGCACCATGCCCTTTCACATCTGAATTTCAGACATCTGGCCTCTGGAACTGTGAGAGAACAAAGTCCTATTGTTTTAAGCTGCCCGGTCAGTGTCCTTTGTTACAGCAGCCGCAGGAGACTGAGACAGAGGCTCAGCCAGCACTGGAGCTCAGACCATTGGAGTCTTGAGAGGTGATGAATATAGAGTGTGTTAGACACACAGTAAATGTGCAGCTAACCCCACAGTCGCAGTGTGGCCTCTTCTGCTAATAGTCTGGGGAGAGTACTTTCCTTGAGATGTTGTCTCAGTGGAACCAGGAGGAACTGGTGACTCTTCCCCAGTGAGATGAGTCCTGTTTGTGTCCATGCCACACCCGAGGCTTCGTCATTGGAGCATACACGGTGACACCATATCCAGAGGTGCACCATGGGCAGCCGGGAGACATGATTCTCTTTCTGCAGCATGTGTAGACTCAGGTTTGGGAGTTTCAATTGGGCCGTCAGTGTGGTGGTCAAGGGCAGGGTGTGGGAGTCAGGGGACCCTGCTCCTAGTTCTGATAAATTGTCTACTATAGCCCAGCCCTGTTCTTCCCACCCAGGGAGTGGAACTTGAAACCATGCAGGTGAAGCATTTAGCACAGACCTTGGAATAGGGGAAAGTGTATATATATATATATATATATATATATATATATATATATATGTCTTGGGTTGGCCAAAAGTTTCATTCATTTTTTTCTTTTTTCTGTAATATGAGTCTAGTAGAGCTTAGTTGTCTTTCACTTCATTTGAAACAATTTTGTTAGATTGTATTGTGACAGCTGTCATATCAGCATGCATTAAAAAAAGCGTATCAAAATTGGTGAGTTTTGGGGTAGCCATTTATAATATTGAAGATGGAAGAAAAAAAGCAACATTTTTGGCATGTTATGCTTTATTACTTCAAGAAAGGTAAAAATGCAACTGAAATGCAAAAATAAAAAGGTATGTGCACTGTGTGGAGAAGGTGCTGTGGCTGACTGAACGTGTCAAAAGTGGTTTGCGAGGTTTTGTGCTAGAAATTTCTTGCTGACTGATGCTCCACGGTTAGGTAGACCAGTTGAAGGTGATAGGGATCAAACGGAGACATCTATTGAGAACAATTAACATTATATCATGTGTGAGATAGCTGACATACTGAAAATATCCAAATCAAGTATTGAAAATCATTTTTTATCAGCTTGGTTATGTTCATCTTTTTGATGTTTGGGTTCCACATAAGGTAAGCAACAAAAACCATCTTGACCATATTTCCACATGTGATTCTCTACTGAAATATAATGAAAACATTCCATTTTAAAAATAAATTGTGATAGGTGAGGAAAAGTGGACACTAGACAATAATGTGGGATGGAGGAGATTGTGGGGCAAATGAAATGAACCACTGTCAACCACACCAAAGTCTGGTCTTCATCCAAAGAAGGCAATGTTGTGTATATGGTGGGATTGGAAGAGGGTCCTCTCTTATGAGCTCCTCTGGAAGAGCAAAGGATTAATTCCAACAGGTACTGCTCCCAATTAGACCAACCGAAAGCAACACTTGATGAAAAGCATCCAGAATTAGTAAACAGAAAATGCATAATTTTCCATCAGGATAGACCACATGTTTCTTTGATGACCAGGCAAAAACTGTTACTACTTGACTGGATGTGCTGTTTCATCCGCTGTATTCACCAGACATTGCACCTTCAGATTTCCATTTATTTCAGTCTTTACAAAATTTTCTTAATTGAAAAGTGAATTCCCTGGAAGACTGTACAGGACACCTGGAACAATTCTTTTCTCAAAATGATAAAAAGTTTTGGGAAGATGGAAGTAAGAAGTTGCCTGAAAAATAGCAGAAGATAGTGGAACAAAATAGTGAATATGTTGTTCAATAAAGTTCTTGGTGAAAATGAAGAATGTGTCCTTTATTTTTACTTCAAAACCAAAGGAACTTTTTGTCCAACCAAATATTTAAAATATACATATTTATAATTCATTTATACATATATTTATTATATATTTGTATATGTATTATGTATTTGTATAACTTTATGTAACAGTAGCTTAGTTATTTGAAGCATGTATTTAAAAACAATTTTTAATCACAAGAATTATATTGTTCATCTTGAAGTTTCAAATTTTTGAAATGATATGTAACTAGGAAAAGAGTGCATATAATACAGAGCGAAGTAAGCCAAAAAGATAAAGACCATTACAGTATACTAACACATATATATGGAATTTAGAAAGATGGTAACGATAACCCTATATGCAAAACAGAAAAAGAGACTCAGATGTATAGAACAGACTTGTGGACTCTGTGGGAGAAGGCGAGGGTGGGATGTTTCAAGAGAACAGCATCGAAACATGTATATCTAGGGTGAAACAGATCACCAGCCCAGGTTGGATGCATGAGACAAGTGCTCGGGCCTGGTGCACTGGGAAGACCCAGAGGGATGGGGTGGAGAGGGAGGCGGGAGGGGGGGACCAGGATGGGGAATACATGTAAATCCATGGCTAATTCATTTCAATGTATGACAAAAACCACTGCAATGTTGTAAAGTAATTAGCCTCCATCTAATAAAAATAAATGGAAAAAAAAAAGAGTGCATATAAAATAAGTTAGACACAAGCAGTGAATTTTTAGTGTATAGCACGTGCATATTTCCTCTTCGCTGATGTATTTACTTCAAGTTTGGATCTAATTGTACATGGAACTTTGAACCTTCTTCTTTTGACAATACACAGTGCATGTTTTCCCCTGTAGTTAAACATTCCTCTTCAAAGCCAAGTTTAATGGCTCATTATGTTCCATGAGGGTGTATCCAGGGGGCTTCCATGGACTGAACGAGTCTACAGACACAAAATGAGAAAGAGAGCGTTTGGTTGGCAGTGTGTGCAGAAACTGTGTGCATGGAGATGGTGACAGGAAGCAGGCAAAGTCCCAAAGGCTCCCTCAAAATATGCAGCTGGTGGGGTCCCTTTCTCCCTCCAAACGGGCTGTTCAAATACCTCTCCTCCCCACTCTCTGCATGGCATAAAACTGCCATTTCCTCGAAATTTTCCAGCAAGGTACCCTCAAAGTACAAATTTTGCCAATCTGAATGTGAAGAAATTCTATCTTGTTTTCATTTGCATTTCCCATATTGCTCAGGAATTTAAAGATATTTTCCATCTGTTTTTCCCATCTCCCCTTCTGTGACTTGCCGATTTCCCCATTGGCTTCAGTGCATTTTTCTTATTAATTTTTAGGAGGTCTTTGTAGTCTAGATACTCTTTCTTTGTCAGTAATATGCATTGCAAAGATTTATTTTTTTTTATAGACAGCAACTTGCTCTACTCTGGCTCATGGTATCTTTTGTCAAAAAAAGATTTTGAAGTTTAACATAGTCAAAGTTATCTATCTTTCTTTTATCACTTGTGCTTTGGATTTCTTGTTTAAGATGTACATACTACTCCAATTCTATAGAGTTATTCCTCTGTTTCATAGCAGAGTAATGTTAGATAAGCCACTAACATTTAGTAGCTCTGTGATGTGGGAAAGGCCTCTCTCTGGACCAAGGTTTCTCATTTATTGAATTCTCTTTATTGAATCATTTTGCAGATTTATTAGAATTTACTCATGTAAAATACTATGGCTCTCTCTTTCTCAAGGGTTTCCACAAAACAATACACAGTCAAGCAAGAATTAACCACACTTCCATGACTCTAGGAACCACTGAAGTAGGGATGGGCCCCAAGAATCTGATGAAAGCTGTGAACTAGGAAAACATACCTGATTGTATACCTGATTTCAGGGCCTTCAGGTTCCCTGGGCTTCAGGAATCCTTGGTTAAAAGCTGCAGGCGGCACTAAATTGGAGTTTAATGGTCGTGTCAAGAGATGCCAGAAATCGATGTACAAGCACCCAGGTGGTCAGAGTCCTGTGGATGCTGAGTTCTGTGCTCCTTCTCACTGCTGTAGTTTGCACATGCTGAGCCTTTCGGGGGAGAGGAACTTGCCTCCTTTGAAAGCTTAATGACAGGTCAGAAGACTGCCTCTAGTGCTTATTTCCTTGCCTCCCTGGGGGCAGGGTTGAGCATCACCTTCCAAATTCCCACAGCCCCTCCCTCACATCTTCCACTGCACTCACAGAGCTCTGGGTATTTGCTTATGTATTTGTTTCTCCAGGTTGACTTGGGATGCTTAAAAGCAGAGATCACGTTTTAGTTTCTTGGCTTCTTTGGCCTCTCATTGTTCAGTGCTTGTACCATGATAGTCAATAGCAGTTGCAAAATGGCAAAGTGCATGGGTATTTCCAGAATTAAAAGGCAGGGGAGATTCATGTGAGTGACTCTCTTGTGTCTACATATCAGGGTGAGGTAATATGTACATTTGGGCAGGGGCACACATGATTTGTGACTCTTCTTTAAAAAAATATTTCCCCCCAATACTACTGACTTGTCTTGAATCAAAACTCAAGTTCAAGAACCAGGAATGCATGCCTCCACCATGGGTGTGGTGTGAGCCTGGGGAACTTCATCTCTAGCAGAGCCCTGCAGAGGGACGAAGTGCCCATGTTGGGGAGGTCTGGCATCTGGAGCCGCGCTGAGGCTCTGAAGACTCATCTCAGCCTCCCGGAACTGTGGCTAGGCCACATCCTCAGTGTACGTTGTTTGGTATGAATACACTGAGTTTGGTATGAGCCACAGATAAACCTGACAAGCCAGCAGCCACAGAGAAACAAATTGCCTCAGACACACACATTGTCTATCTGCAGAGCTAGCCTCCCTCTTTAAGTCCGAAGGACAAGGCAGCCCTTGTAGACAAGGACAGCTACATCCCAGAAGAAGGAAGAATCCCTCCCTTGAGGCTTCCGCCCAAACATTGTTAAGTCTGTGGCTCCTCTCTGGCTCACTGCCCCGGGGACCCAGGCCAGGTTCGATCCCTAAAAG